AGAAGAAGAAGAGGCAGTGTCCCCTGGCTCAATGCCACCACCAAAAACGGTCACTCCAGCTAATGATCACGGGAATCTTGCCAACATAAACTCTTCCTTTTCGGGTTGGTCCGGTGTCAAGGAAGAACCAGCTTCCTGGGGATCCGCGGAGCACAATAAGAATGTGGGATACAGCACTGCAGAGCAAACATCATATTCCACTTGCCACCAATCAATGGCAGAGATGTCAAATCCTTCCCACACTATGCAACAGAACTTGGACGTCTATTCGAACCACCTGCCCCCTCACAGGGAAGAGTGGTCTGAGGACAGGGAATCACGACACGACAACCTTGTCTACAGCAACATGCAATATCCGATGCCCATGCAGGCACCAGATATCTCGGTCAGACGTCGTGAGTCTTCTGGCGCGCTGACTTCTTCACTGGAGGGCATCGGAATCTGTACTACCGGTCAATCTGGGCTGTCTCAACCTGTCGATCGAGTAGAAGCAACTTGGAAGGAGCCCGGCAAGGAGCTTGATCTCGCCGCACGCCGCAAGCGCCCTCGCCCCGCTGCCATTGGCACCTCGGGAACTCGTCCTTTGGTCAACTCGACCTCGATGTCTTCGCTCTCGCCTACCGCTCGTATGCCTAGCTCCGGCGCTGGCAACTCGATGAGACAGTCTAAGTCAACTCAGAGCCTCAACTCCCGGTATGCCGGCGTGAGGAAGGCATCGGCTGCCCAGCGGTCTCCACTCAACTTTACTTTTGCGGATTCCGGGTCTATGAAGAAGGCCGAGAAGATGCTGCGACCCTCGGTCTCGACCACTAGCCTAGCTCCACCAACTCCCTTGACTCCGCAAGACCTCCAGCATTTCATGCCTGCCTCCCCCACGGATAGCAACTACTGCTTGTCGGCCCACTCCACAGCCCACTTCTTCCCTACCTCTCAACCCATGCAGGTCAACATGGCATCACCTCCCGCTACGCCACTGGATATTTACTCCCCCTTCCCTTATCAAAACGTTGCCCCGCCAATGTCGGCTCCGGCTCAGGTCTCTTCCTTCCCCGAATATCTCACATGTGACTCGGTTCCCATGCCAGCCCGCAGCTGGGCCGACACTGCTTCTATATCTTCGCCTGAGTACGCGGCGGGTCTTCAGGTGCCGCATTCAACCACGGTCTCGCCCATGGGCTATAACGCGACCACCGACCACACCGGTCAAGCTTTTGGCATGGAATCGGTCTCTGGCTCCCCATCTTTGATCTATTCGATCGAAAATACCGACATACCAGGCTCCGCCGAACTTGCGGAGAGGAAGCGGACTGAATTTATGATGCACGAATTCCCAGAGCACGACACCCACTTTGGTGGTCATCACTTGTCATCGATGCAGAAGCCGAAAGCCTACACGTTCGCGAACAACACGACGCCAAGTAACTACCCTTCCTAAAGGAAGGTCCCTTGACCTTTCCCTTACTATGGATATATGAGAAATGCGCGACAACTTTTGGTGTTTTTGGTCTGGGACGAGTTCACAACGCAAAATTTTCGCCTTCACCTTCGTTTTCCTACACTTTCCCTCAGGGAGATGTTGTCTACCCAGCCCTCCGTGCGCGGAGAAGCACTGTCATTTTATGCCTTCTATATACTTTCTTTTCGTGTCTCTTTATTTGGGGTGTATTCACCGGGTTTTTACATATTTGGAGCATTCCTTGCATGTTGTTTATTGGCCTGGGATTGTTTTTGTTATTTTTAGTGTCTGATAAGACCTTTTAATTTCTGCCGAGCTCCCTCACCGGAACTTCGAGACCTTTTTCACCTTCTACCTTTGTTTTTGTCTTGGATCTCTTTTTATTCCCGTGATTCGGAATCGGGCTTTGTGGATGGGACTTAAACTTGGGTTTGCATATGGCTTCGGCAGCATTTTGCTTAGTTTTGGCATTTTCCACGATACATACTCCATACATTTGTTACGTATGTATCTATTATCTCATAGCTCTCAATAAAAAAGGGGATGATCTCTTACATTTTTGGCTTTTACCCGAAGTAAATCTCCGAGAACGAAATTATGATCAACCAGCACACGGTTAAGGCTTGGCTATAAGTTCAGGCCCTCTGTACCTTGCCGTTCAGAGCTCGCTCTCATGAGGTCCTCCGGAGATATCCCCCAAAGGCATGTACTCCGTACTTCGTACTATAATGGATCCAACACGTGCGCCAAACCATAGGTTACCGTGTGCGGAACCTTGGAACGCAGAAGACCCCCCTGCCCCGGAACTCACGGTAACCTTAACTCCCACGTGCACTACAGTCTTCCAAGGTTTTCACTTGAGTATAAAAGGAACATATTTGTCGATCTCATCTCAAGAGAGAAAAGAAAAACAGAACGAAACTGTCTCTTGAAAAATTGGAATTGAAATCCGCGTATCTCCGTCTTTCAATGAGACTCTCCACCCTCGGTTCAGCCCTTGTGGGCCTGGCTGTCGCGCAAGCATCGACTATCAATTACACTACGGTCTCAGGCTACTTCCTGCAAGATGAGGAGTCGACTGATCCCTCTACATTTGACTATGTAAGTGAAGCCCAAATTCCGGCGAATCAAAAAATAGTTATACTCGAAAACTATCTCGTTATCGACGCCTTAACCGGTCACGAAGTCGGTCCGCTAACGTGTTCAGACAGCGGAGAACTTCGGCCTGATCGGCCGCGCTTATCCCGCAGACAAGGAGCACAAGAAACACGAGTCCCTGACCCAATGGGAGCGTTTCTACCAGCAGGTCACTAAGTTGAATGAGCATTCCCCGAAGCACGTTGAATACAAAGTCTTGTTCCTTGGTCGACACGGGGAAGGGTGGCACAATGCCGCCGAAAGCTACTATGGAACACCAGCGTGGAACGTAAGTCGCTGCCTATCACCCTAGCATCTCGCTAGCGCGCAATGTAACTCTCTCCATTCAGTGCTACTGGTCCGAACTCAGCGGCAACAGCACAGCAAGCTGGGCAGACGCCGACCTCACACCTGGTGGTGTCTCACAAGCGCTCAAAGCAAACGAGTTCTGGCAAAAGGAGATAAAAGAACAACGAATCCACACACCGGACCACTACTACGTCAGCCCAATGACACGCGCTCTGAAGACCGCCAACCTAACTTTCACGGGTCTGGACATACCAAAACACAGCGCGCCCTTCAACCCGACCGTCAAGGAACTCTTCCGCGAAGGGATCAGCGTCCACACCTGTGACCACCGCCGTAATCGCAGCTACATCCACGACTTGTTCCCGCATTGGCCCATTGAGCATGGGTTCAGCGAGGAGGATGAGCTCTGGAATGGCGTGACGGCTGAGTCTAGTGGCGCGCAGGATGATCGGAGTTCCCAGGCATTGGGGGATGTTTTCTTTACTTCGTCCAAGAAGAAGTCGTTTGTCTCGATCACGTCGCATTCGGGTGAAATCTCCTCTATTCTGAGGGTCATTGGACACCGGGCCTTCAAGCTGAGTACTGGTGCTGTTATTCCGGTGTTGGTCAAGGCTGAGAAAATTGGCAAGCCACCGGTCACCTCTTCGGTGCCTTGGGAGCTGAGTCCGCACTGTACAGAGCCGCCGGTTACATCGGTTACGGCTTGTGTTTGTCCTTCCAGTGCGGTGCCTGTTACGACACCTTTGGCTACGGGTTTCTAGAATGATTTGTAGGCTAGCTTGGGTGGATTGAATGGTTTGGCTTATACGAGGTAGACCCCGGCGTACACTCAAATCAAGAGTTTTGTAATGACTTTCGACACTGCCAGGGGAAGACAAGCATAGACAGTATTAGAATATTCGGCCGCTTACGCGGCCTCTGTCCTTACAAGGTTGACGATGACTTAGGGTCAGTATCCGATCCAGTTTAATTAAGATGGTATAGTATAAGGTTAGTTTAGTTGTATTCGAGATTCACATTGGCTTTCAGATATCTCTTTAGGTAACTTTAGGATAGCTCGATCTCTTTTTAATGTCTTTGTAAATCTCTTATTCGATGGATATCTTTCCCTCCCCGTTTTATTATCGTTGAATTGCTTGTGTGGTCAAAAAGGTGTAAATATCAAAACATGACATAGACCAAGTAAAAACCGAAAAAGAAGCGTCCCCGGTAAGGCTCGAACTTCCAACCTCCTGATCAACAGTCAGACGCGCTAACCAATTCCCAAATGGAGACTCGATTGCGGCGAAGGCTAGTGAGGACGGCTTCATCAGTATATTGGACACAATTGCTTTGTGTTGACCACTACCGAGAGTATAAACAGACCAGACTCAGTACTATAAATGGGAAGGGGTCCCCGGTGGGGTATAATTGGAATATAACTAGAATACTACCTGAGTACATATATAATGCACTACAATTGCAAAGATTGGAAAATAAGTGTGAATGACAATTATGAGGCTCTGGATGCTTCTTCCACGGAAAGCTTTTCATAACTCGCTATGATTGGCCGTTATTTGTCCCCACTCAGCCGTGATTGGTCCATTCTTTGGGCTTATACAGTGAAGGTCGATTTGAAGTCGCTATATCACGATCGATCTATTTCGCTTTGCTATCGCCTGATCCAAATTTGTTGCACTTTCTAGTCAATCCTATTGCTTTTCCTCGAAGATCAAAAGGTTCAATTAGTATATGAAAGGCGCCCGTGTCCAGGCAGAAGGAGATTGGAGAAAAGAGCTCATTGATTCTAGTCCTGTCCTTCCCATACTCTGGTGACGTGCGTTTACTTCACTACATCTTTCTCGGCGTCACTGTCACCTGGGCAATTATTTCCCCGCGTTTCATTGGCCGAAAGAATGGCATCCATCACAAGCCGACGCAGGTGCAAAATCAGCACTCTGCTTGCCTCAGGCCCAGGCTACCATAACAAGCTCGCATTCATCAAAACAAACCTTTACTTTTTTTTTTCCTTCACTCTCAGTGGAGCATCCTGGTACACTTGCTGACCTCCTAGTACCTGTCGCACTGTTCCTGGATCTTTTCGGAATCAACTACAGCAATGGATCCGTCGCAGGCCCAAAGCCCGCCATCATCGCGGCTGTCTGTGATGGTCTTGAGCAGCTCGCCTTCAGATCGGCTCGCTGGGATGGCCTTAAACAGTTCCCCGGCAGAGCAGCTGGCTGCGATGGCCCTGAACAGCAGGCCCGTTCAGCAGGCTCCACCTGATGACACGCATGTTGCTCCTACTGAGGCTTCCTCCTCCCACACCTCTTTGTTTGGTAACATCTCCCGTCCTCGCACCCCTCAGTTGGCTGAAAGTCCTTCCACTTCCTCCACCCCAACCCTTCCCAATACACCTTCCCCGCTCGACAGGCGCCTATCTAGCAACTTGAATCGTTCTCCTTCGAAGACTCCTCGTGATGATGCACAATCTGATGAAACATCCGGCGATTTTCCATACTTGGCACGAGAGCCATCGCTCCCGTATGAAGCTTGGGAAACAGTAAGTACTAAACTGGGTCATATCACTGAGCTTGGAGCTATTCAGCCAGCTAACATGATCTCAGATCTTTTATGGCACGCTTACTAGTATCTCATATGAGGAATTTGACTTCGTTTATGGGGATGTCTTTGAACACCCGGCAACCAAGAAGACCCTTTCGACTCTGAGACTCGTGAACCGAATCTGGAACCGGATTGCGACTCCTCTCCTTTTTCGGTATATCCAGGCCGTGGTCGGATACTCTGCTGGTCGACCTCTTGATAGCATCCTAAAGATTTCCGAAAGTCCACACGCCCTCTACGTACGCGACGTGCGTTTTGGTTTCGTGGGAGCATGGCTCCCCGGGCTGGATTATGATCGGTACATCGACGACTTGGCAGCAGGAGCTCTTCCGATCTTGATCAGTCGTTTCCAAAACATTCAAACATTGCGGTTGCAAACACCCACCGTGGTGGACACATTCAGTGAAGAAGGTCAACTCAAGCCGCCGCTGCTTGCCAAGCTGACAAACGCTCTTGTGCATACTTTACGCTTGGTGCCTGTCCCAAGACTGAGATGTCTCCATATGTCTATGCCGACCACCGCGGAATTTGCCCGTTTCTTTGAGTCGAACAGTTACGCCAGGAACTTCACCAATGTTTTCGCCCAACTCGAAGAGCTACACATCACTATTAATGACAGCACCGGCCCTGATGGCAGACGGGACCCGAAATGGCCCCGCTCGGTGATCAAGACCAAGTATCCACTCGATCGATTTGCTCCATATCTCGTCCAGCTCATCTCTTACGCGAAACGGATCCAGGTCTTCAGCCTAGATGCCCGTACCTGGTTTGACGTGTCCGATCTGGAAGCAGAAAGCCTCACTAAACTGAAAAGCTTCCGGCTCGAAGGTGTGAGAATCAACGACGAAACTCTCAGGCAGATTTTCATACAAGCTCGGAAAACGCTGCGTCGCATTGACTTGGTCCACGTTCGGCTCATGTCTGGTACCTGGGAGGATGTATTCGGTCACGATGCACTTCCTCCTGGTGACCTTACGTGGCTGCGTGTTGATGGATGTGGCTACTCAATGACGGGCTCCAGTTCCCACTTTGTCGGTTATTCATTCTCGCACTACCCAACAGCACTTTGGACCCTCCATGGCCGGGACTGGTTGGCTCTTACGCACTGGAGAGCGGTGGTGAATGCAAACCGTCACCGCAGGAGACTGCCCAGATGTCCGCATTGCTTTTTCCCGTCAATTAGCCCAATTCATAATCCCTAATTAGAGGGATACCTTGAAAGCAGGATTTACGGAACAAAGAGGTCACGGGAGGTACTATCATGATTTGTGACTGCTGTTCTTGGTTTCTAGGCTTACTGTCGGAGATGAGCTTTCTTGGGTGTTTCCCTTGAGGTGTCTATCTGATAACTATCTACTCTGCTTCCTTCGCCTGGTCGTCTAGATCTCCAGGGATGTATGTAAGGAATTTCTCTTGATTATGGGTCTGGTCATCTTGGTCTCCAGGCATGACACATGTATTTTCTTTTTCGTTTTCTCCTTTTCCCCTCCCTTTCCTAGGTTGGTTGATGGGTTTGCGGTATCATAGCGTCGTGGGTCAAGCGTAGGGATAATAGAAGCCAATCCGTCAATTAGTTATTTGGCGAATAAGTAGTAAATCAGTTGATTATTTCCAAGGTTGCACCTATCCATGGACGTCTGGGTCCTGAGTCGAGTTCCAGTACGAGTCTAACCCGAACTTCGAACCTTAGAGTGGGTTTGCCTTATATGGTGCAAAACTCGCTCGCTCTTCATCAAAAGTCTCTTTCTCACAATTGGTTAGCGCGTCTGACTGTTAATCAGGAGGTTGGAATCGAGCCTTCCCGGGGACGCTTTCTTTGATTTTTATAAAATTCACTTTCATTTCAAGGCATTTTTTTCTGTCTTGTCTTGCGAATTCATCTTTTTATTTTTAAGGTTGTCTGGTTAGGTGCAGTAAGGAGTAGGGTGAGGTTGGCTTAGACTCTAGTCGAACCTTAGTTATTTATTGTGCTACATCAGGTGTATCCATGGATATACATATGTAGCCTTTCTCTCCAAGATTATCTATCGACTTCAAAGCTTTCATTTTGGATATTGAAATGAGCTGTTGTTTATTATCTCGATCTTGTTCAAGCACAATGAAGTCTTAAAGCATTGATACATAGGCTAGAAAACCAGATTTCAAACAAGGATAGAACTCAAATACACAGGGCAAGCAGATGCAAGCAAACAAAGATCGCACATTTCTTTAAACAGCCAAGAGATGATCAGAAATCTCGGCCAAGGCACAGGACAACTAGACTGTCCACAGCGATTCACCCTCTATGACCATGTATAAGAGATAAAACAAGAAACGTACATACTCATACTCCTGTAACACTCTGTCCAAAAGGGTAAAGATAAAAGCCGGCCCAACGCCAGTAAAGGCATACCAAGAAAACAAGGGAAAAATAAGAATAAGTAAACGAAGAAACAAGTAGCTCGACTAAGTACAACTCAACAAAGGGTATAGGAAGGTTGGCCCAGATTAACATTAACCGAACATACTTCACCATGGGATGCAGCAAAGAAGGCAGTGTAACACTGGAACAGGAGAATATTTCAGATATGAATGAAAGCATGTGGCAAAAGTAAAGAAAAACAATCACGCCTCAGATGATAGTAAAGCCAGTGAAAAGAAAAACACCAATCTAGATAACGCCGGCCGCCGTGAACTAGTACGACCACCCACCTCCCAAGGGGCTGCCAGACTGGCCTGGTTGAGGTTGTCCGGGTTGCATTGGACCACCCGGTCCGGCAGGCCACCCAGACATACCATTGCCTGTCATGTTCATTGCAATACCCGCCTGTTGAGGATTCCCGCCCATGAAGGTTTGGCCCTGGTTGGGTGGATACATGGCTCGTGCCATGCTTGGATAACCGGCCGGGTTGGCTCCCGGATATCCCATGCCCTGCATACCCTGAGCCTGCGGCGCTTGAGGGTGTTGCATCTGGAAAGATTGCTGAGGCATCTGAGGTATTGACTGTCGCTGTTGGTTGCGAGGAGATTGGTGATGTTGCTGCTGCGGATGATGCCCGAGGGTAGGTGGGCTTTGTTGTGGAGCTGCAGACATTTGTTGACCATACTGAGGCATTCCAACGCCCTGGTGGCCCGACGACGGTAACGGGGACGGCTGCGGCTGCGGGGGTGGCTGTCCCCAAATCTGCTGCTGTTGCGGTGAATATCCGTATGGAGGGGCTTGACCCATACCGCCACCCATGGATGGGTTGGACCGTTGTTGCATAAGATTGGGCTGCATATTTGGTGGGATCCTCAGCGGAGCCTGTCCAACGGACTGTGGGTGGGGTTGTTGAGTGTAGTTTGTTTGTCCGCCCATCATTGGATTAGGCTGCATGGGGACCTGCTGAGGGAGCATATGCTGCGTATGAGCGGGATTTGGCATCCCGGCCGAGGGAATCTGTGATACTTGAACAGGCTGTGACACAGACAAACCAGATTCAAGAGCAGTATTAGACTGGGTCTCTGAGACTGGGGCCTCGCGGGGCTTGGAGTAAAATTCATCCAAGCCTTTCTGGCGGAAACTGCGCTGAATGCTCAACATTTTGTTGAAATCAGACGTGTGTTGGGCTTGGTTCATGAGGTCTGCTGCTGAGCTAGTTTGCGTGCGGTCATGGTAAGGTTGCCCGGTCAATTCCTGGCGTCCACGAGGCATGACAGTGTAATCCCGCAGCCGCGGGTCATCCGTCGTCGACATATGAATCATCGGGGCTGGAGCTAGAGACAAAGATTCAGAAGTATCCAGCGAGAGCCCGTGAGGTAATGGCTCGATGGCATTACTGTAAACAACATCGTTATGAGGCAGCGCCGGCAACATGTTTGTGGCTGGCTCAGAGACGGAACCATCGCGAGCCTTGGTCGCCCCAGGGCGCTTTTCACCGGCGAGGTCATCCTCCGTGAAGCCCTGCTTCCTAGCCTTGGTTTCCCAGTAGTCATCTCGAACCCGACGGCCATTTACAATCACCCGGCTCCCGAACTGGCGGAACATGGATCTGGCGGAGACGATGGCGATCTGGCGGGACCGATAGGAATACGGCAGGATATCTTGCTGGATCAGATCGTCTTTCTCGATTTGAGAAGCAATGATTTTATGCAACGATCGGTTCTTGTTGAACAGAAGATATGAATCACGATAATTCAATACCCTCGCACACTCAGTTGCAAGCATAAATAGCTTGCTGCCCCGGAGGGGAACACGGAATGTCCGGCATTTATATTCGCGGCCACCCTGCGGATATCCCATAGGATCTGCCTTCTGCTCTCCTGCTTCATCAAACTCTTTAGGGATGTACTCGTCGCCTTCTTCATTCAGCTGGTCTGATGTGTGATCTCTCACAGTAGGGAGCGCTTTGACCAGTGCTTTTGTTGGTGTGCTTTTGCTGTCCGGTGATGCAAGAGATGGCGACCCGGCGTTGGCTTGCGATAGTGGGCGTGCTTGCATTTGAGGGGTTTGGACTGGAGTGTTTGCAATAGCCTGTTCATTAGAACTTGGCCGAGGGGTCTTTGGGGGACGGCCACGCTTGCGGCGACTTTGTTCCTCTAGAAAACAGACAAGGCAATGTTAGCATCCATCTCATGAAGTACAGAAGCTGTGAGTAGGCAAGGTGCAAGCGCTGGGGATATAGCATGGTTCTGGATGGAACCTATTGACAATGCTTTCCCGCTGCCCCACGTACCATCATCCTGACCCCCTTTGGCATGTCCATTTCCCACGTGGTCTGGAGTGCGACTACGCTTGACACCACGGGGGATTGCTATTGCATGGGAATGTGCTGGTAGGGCAACAGAGACTAGGAGGGGTATCAGTTTGAAGCAGTGATGGGGAATACACAAAGAGACGAGACAATGAGAAGGAACATATGATTCATTCCGACAAAGTGAACCCCATCCATAGAAAACAGGGCGCGCGCGAGAATTCGTGAAGGAGGGCAAATAGGAAATGAAAGGCGCGAGGCCGAGGCAGCAAGGAATGCGATAAGACACATACCAGAGTTGCTCAGGTTTGCGGGATCGATGGTCCCCGAGCCATCAATGATATCCATACCGTTCATTGTAGATAAGGCGTGAGATGTGCCATACATAGCGGGTCGAAAGTCGGACAGTTAGAGAGCCCGTCGCAAGATGGCGCGTCAAGTCAACGCGCAAGGTACCCGGGCGGACGAGGAAAAGAAAGCGGCAGAAGAGAGCAGGAGATTCTCATGCAAGACTTTCAGACCTCTGAGGTAGATTTAGGTCTCAAGTCGTCAGGAGCTTGTAGCCTTCTAGGTAGGATCTCGGATGAACTTGGGTTTGAGAGGGGAAAGGACTCGAGGCGGTGAGGACGGAAGCCTGAGGGTTCAGGTGTTCTGCAAAGAGGACATCGACTTGTTAATACCTGGGGAATATAATCTTGCGCAAATCAAGATTTTGATGTCTTTCTATTATATCTCTATCGGGGAGAACGAACTCAAGTCTTGCAAGGGGCAACGGGCAAAGGGAAAAAATAAAAATAAAGAAAGAAAACGATCGTCCCGTGATTGGTCACGAGCAGAAACAATTAAGACTCACAAGTCCGCTGCTAAGAAAGTGGCGCCGAATCAGACAGAAACTGACCTAATTCCTGCAGGCTGAAGATGCTTTGGGCTCAGTAAAGGCTAGACCAAGTCGTTTGTCCTGGAGAGCCCCGAAAACAAGTAAAAAGATACGGGATTTGAATAGTTAACCTTGGAGTTGTTGGCCCCAGTTGGAGATTAGTAATTTTCTCCCCGCGATAGATCGGATATCAGATATTGGTCACAGTAAAAGGATCAGATCTGAATGAAGCCGGAGGGAATGGGGATCTTTTTGTGATCTTCTGGGCGTCGCGGGTACGGCGCCAATATCCGGACAGGGTCGATAAGAGACAAATCAGCTCATGAACGGTAGCACTTAGCTGCAGCATAAGCGTGGAAAAATGATGCTTTTCTTGTCTTTTGACTCCTTTGGTTCCAAAGTAGTTCAAGACGGACGATTTTCCGAGGTGGCACAACGATCGAATCCTCGATATGGGTTGAGAAACACGGAGAAGGACCCTGCGTCTTTTGGGCAACAGTATGGAGACGTATGCAGGAAGGGGAAAAATAGAGGAAAAGAATAAATTAATTAAAATTTAAAAAAACAAGGTGCAACCGTAGCACAAGAGAGTACAACGCTCCTTTGGCTTTGAGATTCGTAACTAGGTACAGAGCACTCAGGGACTGTCCGTATTGGAGCCAATCACAAGGTCAATTACATCTGAAGTATTGGTATTGTCCTTTGTATTTATATACCCCGATTATGATATATTTTTGCCGATCGCTGGAGACCAAGATTTCGAGTATAGACTATGGGAAGAGTTTATGGAATGGTGAATAACTTTGTTTAAATGTACCTGAATGGCCCTTTTTCCTATTCCGTTTTCGAGCAAGGTCCATCACAACAGGGGACGGAGTCTAGACAATGTGATAGACCTCGGATAGAGCTATAATCACGTCCATTTAGTCTGGGTATGTATTGTGTAACCTGAGGTGTCTTAAACACTGGCGGGGGTGGAAATTATAGACGAAAGAAGCAAGACGTGGAAACAAGGAGTGACGACTCTCTGACAAAGCTCACAGATAATTGGTTCCATAGAAGAGAGACAAGATCATTAATGATTCCCGGATATATGCGTGTCTCTAACCCATGTCGACTAGTGTAGTATGCAGGATCAAGGTCCAATCCGAAGCAAAGCGATCAATATGCGTGATCGGATTATATCGGGTCAAGCAAAGACTAGAAATATCAAAATGGCAAATACTGAATGGAAATAGCCATCTGATACTCAAATCGTCCTGGTCACCTAGACTTCAAAGGAAGTTCTTGTTTTATGCCGACATTCAACAAGTCGGGCGATAATCCCCCGGAGAAGGCAATGATGAGGGGCCATTAAATAAAAGTAAGGAAGAGAGCAAGATGACTGAGCTCGGGCCGCGTCTTGTCAGCCTAACAAGAGCTAGCGACCATTTAGACCTAGTGCTTCATAGATGAAGATGGGCGGGGGCATGCTCGTGTGTTGAGAGAGACTTGATTTAGCTCACTGGCAATCCATGGATGCTTAATTCGAGTATTAGTGAGAGGATATAGGTGGTCATAATTTCGGGGATGGGACACGCTCGTATTATATTAATGGATCTTAAAGCTCTATGATATTGGGTTAACGGGGATCGAGCGGTTGTGTTTGCAGTATAAATGGAAGCCTCGTGCCAGTGTTCTGTCTGGAGTGTCATTCAAAGCCGATGTAAGGCCTTTGATTCGTCAAACGACGAGCGGATGACCTGCAGAAGACGCTATAGATGGAACCGAGACGGTCATTTGAGCGGGAACTCCCTAGGTGGTCGATCAACGAACGGCCCATGCGCGACTAATCAAGTAAAGCTGCTTAAAAATGCTCCAATCAGGAGGATTTTTAAACCATACATAGCGCACACGGTATTGTTTATGTCAACAGTATCTCCCAAATCGGAGTTGGTTTTCGCTCATATTCGGGAACCGCAACGGCTGTACGAGGTAGAGCAAGATGTAGTATCGTCACACAATAACGCCCACCGCGAGAGTCGGACTACAGCATGAAGTATATTAGTATATTGCAAATGTACAAGGTTCGAAATGGAAAAAGCCCAGATAATCATACATGTCCCAGGTCTCACAACAGCCCGGTCTTGCAGAGCTGCCGTTTTCCACGCTCGGCGCCGGCTTTTCTTGCCAGTCACACAAATTGCAGGATCTGTGCCAGGCTCACAGAGCACAAGGTGACCTTGTAGCTCCAAATAAGGAAAGACTGGATCTCTCTTCTATCGTGGATGCTCACTTTAGACCTTACATGAGCCACCTGGGTCCTTTAGCTGATGGGCCCAGTCGAGCTACCCCGGATGCAACATGCTTTCTTAACTACCACCTTAGAAAATGGACTGATATTAACTTCGTGAACCATCGACTCGCGCCGAGTGGCGTTTCAGTTCTTTGTCACGCAGATCTATTGGGTTATGTACTTTCATAGACGCCGGCTGGGTATGGGCAAATACCGGACGCACATTTGATAATATGTCCCTATCAATCTCATCAAGCAAAAATGGGCGGTAAGTAACGTACGTTCAAAGACAACTAACGACGATCGCTATACCGCCATCAGGTCACATCCAAGCTTTTTATCATTGATGTCCCCCCACTTCCATCCCTACATTCCTGAAGACACATTGGACACATACAGAGCCATTTACTCCGTAATTGATGCAGATACAAGATGAGCAGAACATCATTCGTCAGCGCAACAAGGTATAAAAAATGTCAAAGTGGACATGTCCAATCGCGTTTCCAGCCTATTTGCTTTTCGACCCAATATCTGGGCGAGAGTTTAGAATGTTTCTCTTTTGATGCAACATCAGAACCAAATGTGTCCGCACTATTGACAACCAAGGGAAAACATGGTTCTGATCAAGAGTTACAACAAAACGGACTCCTGGAAAGTAGCTATACTACGCGTTTAAAAGCCACGTGTTTGAATCTCCAGGGGCAGCTCACTGCCACCGATAAGTTGCGGGCACACATATGCATTGATATCATGCCTCAACATATCCCATCGTGCCTCTGATATTGGTAATTCCGGCAGCTGCTAGTCATGATCTGTCCAGAATAGACAGGCATATGTCGGTATCAAAAGTAAGTTTAAGCTGTATATACACTCACGCAACACAAGCAAGAAATCGGGAGTCACTATTTCCTATTTGATATAATGAGCGTGCTTGACGTTGCCCTGCAATTTGCGCGTCGGGGGCCACGCGTCGTACAGATCCGCCTCAATTGGTTGTAGCCTAGCTATAAATCTAGCACAGCTCACAGACATTTCAGCAGAACTCAGAAAAGCCTGCTTGTTGGACTATACAGACCGGTTTGCCTCGCGGCTGTGAATATGACTGAAACAGACGACTGCATTTATGCATAGGGATGCACAGCAGTATGTCGTCCATACTGTATCATAGCGCGCAGATCTAAAATATAGTGTGGGCCTGGTCCAAATCCCGAAAATCAGGAAAGTTCTTTGAGTGGCGTTTGAATGCCACAATGAAGACTGGAGGCACTATGAAAGTCCGATAGGCTACGCTTGTTGATTTGGTTGGGGCTAGGGTCTGATCCACTACTATGTAAAGAAGATTTAATTCAACGGTGCTTATAGCGATATTTGTTATCTGAGGGATGGTTTCTGCTGGATGGTGCAGATATCCTAGCAAGCCCAGGAACTGGCTTAGTTGCAGCCGTATGCCAGTTACCCGGAGATGAAACCTTCCTCGAGCGTTGATGAGCAAATTCTCAAAGTCCAGTCGCGCGCATGCATTAGCCTAAATCACATTTGTTATTTGTTTTAGGCTGCAGTAACCCGGAAGTGCCCGGGGTAGAGAACTCGTGACCCAGAGATCGAGTAAGATCTGCATGGTGTGGAATCCGCTAATCCTAGAAGAGGGGTGTTTGGAAGACGCATCCGGTGTGGTGCAGTAGTTTAGGTTGGGCATGCAGTGTTTTAAGGGAGAAGTTGTACGATTGGTTCGGTGTGAGTTTGTGTGTACATCGTAGATGTTCTTTTCTGGGATCTACCTACCATATGCATTATGCCAGTCTTTGCAATATACAACGTACAGTTTGTGTTGCGAGTAGGGCCTTATCAAATATGGCTGTTATAAAGCATTAAGCAGCATATATTCCAGAGTAGATAATAGTGGTTCGATTAAGTTATGGACAGACATAAACAGCTGAAGGCAGGGACAAAAGTAGAGACCTGGAAAGAGCTAGGTCGATGTAGTAGTGGTTATGCCAATGTATATCGTCTGGAGATATCGTTCTAGTCCTCCTGACTTTTTTAATCTTCATAATGGCCGGCTTGAATTCCACGGGTAAAACCATAATGAAGTTGTAGATAAAAGGATATTCCGTAGACAGAGTAAGAAAGGCTTGACAATAAAGCCCAGCTTTGACTGGAAGGGAGTTCTCATAAATATACCTTTCATTCTATTAATACAGTTATCAGTTGATTCCAACAAGGAGCTGAACACCCTGCGAGATTAGTCGGCGCTTTGATCGTTTCATCACAGTGCTCGAAGCCGCGTCACTAAGTAGGAAATCTGCCATGCGTCGCTTCGAACGCATTCATGATTTTGTCGAGCCCGTCGAAGAGTATCGTGCTGGAGGCTACAATCCAGTCCACCTCGAGGACACTTTCCAGGATAGGTATCGGATTGTTGGAAAATGGGCATTTGACCAGTTTTCCACAGTTTGGATTGCCGAAGATACATGGTTGTTTTCCTTCATCTCATTTCATATTTCGCTCGCGACTATCAAACTTACTCCTTTTCCTCTAGGCTCGAAAGATATGTTACGTTGAAGATTCTCAAAGCGGACATCTCAAGTAATAGTCGAGAACGTTCTATCCTCCTTCATTTGTCAAAAGGGGATACACATCATCCAGGGATGATCACGTTTTGCAATTATTGGATCACTTTGAGGACAAAGGGCCTAATGGCTTACATCTTTGCCTCGTGTTCCCGGTCATGATGCCAGATGGTAAAGCAATGACTGTTCGGAGAAAACCACGCTACCCAGATTATGTTCGCGAAAGGTTTCTAAACAAATATTGTTCGGGTTGAGTTATCTTCACAACCAGGGCCTTATCCATGGCGGTATGTATCTCGGGGACCAAATGCCCAAATTGATTATTGATTTGTGGATAGACCTCCAAGCAGCTAACGTACTATTCACCTTGGACTGCGACTTATCGAGTGGAATGATGATGGAACCTGAATTTAGTCACGTTAACTGGCTTCCAGGAGTTGCAGTGGATAACAGTGCTCCGCGGTATCTTATGAGTTCGCAGCGGCCCGGCGGAATGGTAGACAATGCAGCCTTCTCGACACTTATAGTCAAGATTGGTGATATGGGCGGAGGTTTGGACCCTTTCGGTGATGCGAGACCTCGGGAGTGTGGATTGCTGACAATTACTATAGTTACATGGAACGCCCAGGATGATTTTCTTCCTGTCACGCCAGTAGCCTTGAGGGCACCTGAGTTAGTCCAACCCCATTCGTGGAATGAGAAGGCTGACGTATGGGCTCTAGCGTGTTTGGTATCCTCACCACCCTTATTCCCTAGCATGATCTAACTATCAAGTGCAGATATTTCAACTTGCTACAAACGAGCCACTCTTCCCAGTAGAATCTTTTGGCTGCATTATTGACGGGGTCCATGTGATTTTGCGATCTCTCATGCACGAGATATTTGAGCATGGCAAAGAAAAATTTGCTGTCCATATTAGCGAGATTACCGACTGATTCTGGCACAGAAAATACTGAAAAGCTTGCAAGTTTCCTTGTGGTCGGCGTTGCAGAACGCCCGGAAGATCGAGAGTCAATCACTAGACTTCTCAATTACTCATTTTTAGTTGGATGAAGAGTGGAGCGGCAGAGATAGCATCGCTTGCCCTTGTTGCAGTCCCAGGTATATAATAACCATAAGAACAGCGTCTTTTCTCCACTATTGAATCACTCCAAAGAAGCTGTAGCTTGGGTATAAGGTGACTGTCTCGAGTAGGTGATTGTATAAAGCATCTAGTATAACTGGAGTAGTGCTGCGGGGTCATCCATTTAGCAAGACATAACATATTATTTGGGTGGAAATGCGCGGCTTAGGCAGAGTGTCCCTCGTTCCATGATAAGAGGCTAAAGCTCTCGGTCCTCTTTGAAGTGTAGTGCAACACAATAGTCAGGACGTATTGGCGAAAAATTATCTCCTGTAGTTCGGCCAGTCCCACATCATATCATTTGGTTGCTAACGCATTCAAGGTTTAAGGGGAGGCAGAGGAGGCAGAGGGGCCCAGGAATCAATATCAGTGCGCATGCCAGTACCCTCATGTGGTTCACTAGACAAAAGTTAGCATCCAATTCAGACCATTTTGCGGTGTTTCAACTAACAAGATATACCGCAAACTAGCAGCACGGGCTCGCAGAAGCAATTTCACACATTCTTGCTCCCTCTCTGCCAGCCTTGCCTCCTTTGTAATCACTTGGTGGAGGCTATCCCCGTAAGCAGCATCATCATTGATGCACGAAACAGCAGCAGCCTCAAAAAATCGTGGGAAAGCCCCTACATGGCCCCAATCTAGGAGGGATACCGTGTTATCTTCCATGAGCCTGATGTTCCGGCGGCAGAGGTCGAGGTGGCAGAGCACAAGGGGATATGGACGAAGATCTATCGTCTTGTCGATGAGCTGGAGCCGTTTGTTGATCCACCGATTCATATCGTCAACAGACTGAAACATTTCCCTCGTGCCGTTATCTCCCCACAAGTAGCCTTGAGGCATTCCCCCATCGACCTGTCCTGGTATATCACCGCCTGTGACCGTCGCTAACTCAGAAACAATATTCGTTAAACGCTCATGGACGTCACCAACGCTTACGCCGAGATCTTCCGGGGTCTTCCCAGGGATACATTCCATAAATAGATAACCCTTCGGCTATGAGGGATCAGATCGGCCTTGAAAGAAGCGGTGGACCTGTGGGACACGGACGACCCCTCGACTGAGGTGCTGATAGGTAGGCATAATGGTCGCAGCTTCACCTGGCGTAACACCGTACCCGTATTTGACTGCGACCGTCTGAGATTCTGAGAACTTGATTCCCTTCATCAAGGCCGCCCACAACTGCGTTCCGTGCTTTTGCCTGCTCGCAGAGCTAGATCAGCCAGCATTGGGGAAGAACATAAATAAGCCAGTCCATGGCGCAAGTCAACAAAAGCAACAAGATTGATACCAGCCGGTCAGAAGGCATCCACCAGGTTCAACTGTCTGCACGTGGAGGTCGATTAGACTTGGGTGGATAAGGTTGTGTTGTTGTTGTTGCCCAGGTGCCCAGGTGTCGCCTAGTGCTTAGTCAGCCTCAACGTACAACCTTGGAAGGTTCCAAGGTTGGTAGTTACAGTAAACGCCTGTTATAACGAACGCGGATATAACGAATACCCGGATATAGTGAATGGAAACCGGTGTATTAATTAATCCACCATACAAAATTCGTTAAAACCTCGCGTATTGCGAGTCTCTGGTAGCAATGTGCTATTTTACACGCAGTATGATCTACAGAGATGAAACCTCTAGCTGCGACCGTAAGAACAAGTCACCGTTTAAGTGCATCATCTAACTGTCTGTTTATTAGTTAAAGCGTGCGAACTAGTTCGAGGCGCTGGCGCTAGAAGCATTGTGGGTCCCACCAAACGTGTGCTTAGCGGGTACAGAACCTGCTTCGAAAGCGTCTCCAAGTGCCCAGCCCTTTAAAGGAGATTCTAGACTTCGATTTTGGGCTTGGCTGCAATAGTTTCAATGTTGGAATTAGTGGGGTCCTCTGCAGATCTGGCCATCTTTTTTCTTTTTTTGTTTCGCCATCACCGGCGTTGCATCATGTCTGCAAGTTTATTGTACAATTCCATTATTTTATTACGTGTTGCTTCGATCAGGTTCTACAATAAACCGGAGAGTTCTCTATGCTTGGCTTCCTATATTATCCAAGGCGGGGCCGTTGTGAAAGAGGAAGATCGGCAGGATAATTTTCTGCTTTCTTGATAAACTGGGCGGAGTACGGAGTAATGAATTCCAGCTTCGGGCGCCACCCTCTTTTTTTTTCGGTTTGGTGTCCACGAAAGGAGCTGGTGTAGGTTTACAGCGGGGGTCTGGAGCATCTCCGTGGCACGGATATTATAACCAGACGATGAGGGAGAGCCGTCTTCGGATTCCCAAAGATCGTCAGGAGGGGCATATTCCTGAGTGGGACATATGTGGAATGCTTGGGACTTGTCGGTGTATGTATGTTGTCCAGCACATTATTATGCTCACGGGACAGGAAGATCGTGGCCGGGGCACTTATTATGTGTTAATATAATGCAGTCGAACTGAATGCAGTGTTTTACCCAGTGTGTCCCAAGGTTGGACCTCGGGAGTTAGGGCTTGCTGAGTCAACAATGCGACGGTATTCCTAAGGGGAAATCAGCTTTTAAATATTGCAGAGATAATTTCATCTGATTGTATTTAGGGAAAAGAGAAACAAGAATTGAAAGCAGGGTGTAGTGTCTAACTGCTGTAAAGAAGCAGCTGCAAACCGAAGGATGAGGGGGTTCGGATTTCCTAGGAAAGTAATCCGTGGGGATCGTGAGTTTCCCCGTTTTCTATTTCCTTCTTTTCCTTTTAATTCTTTTTCTTCTTTTTTCTTTAGGGCGAATAAGCAAGATAAGCTCCGCAGAAGAGTCTCCACCGAAAAATTTTCGAAGCATCAAATGATCAGGAAAACTGGGGCCACTGAATAGCCGCTACGTACACCGGTGATCCCTTTTTTTTTCTTCTTCTTTATCCTTTTGAACCATTTTGGACTGGGACAATGAGCAAAGAATATATTAAAATAAATTAATCAAGAATATGTAACTTTCTGGGGTAGGAGAGTTTTAAAAGAGTAGACCAGTCATAACAAGTCATAAAAGAGAAGGGAAAAAGCCAGAGAGCCTGGAACCGGTTTGATCGGGTGACACGGGCGCTTGGACCAGGTTTCCCCATTTATCCTTTCGAGGGTATAAGACTCGCTACTCCCGTTCCCTGGCCTTTTTCCTTTTGGAACTCTACCATTCTACACTTTCCAAAAATATCCCTTGAACATCTTGGGCTACGTTCTTATTAAGACCGGTCTATGATCACCATTTAAAAACACAATGAACACCGGCACGACACAAAGAGCCCCCAAGACCCCAAAACCAACCGCCTCCGTGCCAATTGTTCAAAATAAACGCTGGCCCCCTATGGCAAACCGAAATGCCCTTCCTTACAAGCTCACACATATGTCGAAAGAGAAACTCGCCCGTGAAGCCACTGCACCGGACCCCGACCTTCGCCGCTGCGTGGCTCACTTTCGCCTGCACTGTGGGTCTGTGTCTTGGACCGAGAATGACATGAAGTCTCGCATCAGTTCATTTGATTTCGAAGACACCGACGAGGAAGACGATGTGGATGAGATCAACACAGAATTGCCTGTTCTTAAGAACAGAGCTCAGGCCAACGAGACTCTAGTCGAAGTCACCGAACAATTATCACAAAAATCAGAGCCTGTCGCTGTTGCGGCAACCCCGACATCACCTGCATCTCCAGCATCACCTGCATCACCTGAATCACCTGCATCAACATCACCAACGTCGCCTGAAAATTCCTCCGAGCATGGTTTTTTGGAAAAGGGTCGCAATTGTCTTGAGGCGACCTCTAAACACCTCTGGACAGGGGGATCCTGCATCGTGTCCCCAATCGCGGGTTGAACTCGCCTCTCCCTTATAATTTTCTTCTACACTCTCGACTGCCGAACCTTCTCTCCTGATCCTTTGCCACCGACACGATATTACGACTTGATGACCATGATGAATACATCAAAATGAACCCATGTATATAACTTTACTACTTTACTTCTGACACTATACTTATAATTACCAAAGAACAATTTTTTTGCTGGACAATCTGCTTTCCCGGTTACACTAAGAATTCGAACAATAATATTGGCCTATTATGGCCTCTCTAAACCCGGATATTGTTTGCTTTGAAATCTTCCCCCAAACTCCCCACACTCTATTCTTGGATGTGCCCAAGCCGGAAGGTCAAGCGATGTGACTCACCTGCCGCGTAACCCCAGTCACATGATACATAGCCGAGAATGGAAATATGAGAATCCTAACGATCTTCGTGCCAAACGATCTTCGAAATGCCAAATCTATTAATGTACTGGAGAACTGACGCAGGCCCCAAACCCGAGAGATTGGATGTGGAACCATGATCCTCATGGAAACCAAAGGAAACGAGCTGAGAATACTGAATTATGAATGGTGGAAAGTTCGGTAAGGTGGCAAATTATCCTCCGATCGGATCAGGTTTCATCATAGACATGTAGTCATGTCATGTCACATTTCTCATATTGCCCTTTTCAGCAAACTTCGATATATTCCCGTCTCAAATGACATTCTGATATTCCCATTATCCATGCTATTGGTAAATGGGACTATTTTGGCTTCGGACCCATGGTTTGATCTGTATCAAACTGTCAATATGCATCTGACGTCGCTACGCTATCGACCTTGGATGAAGAAATTGAGTTGCGAGGAACATGAAAACAAGAAATGAAAACACGGAAAGTCACACACACATCATACAAAACCTACATTCGTACATCCACGAGGATCGAGGACGTCACTGGAACTTTAGCCATGCTCGGCCAAGAGAACATCGAATCTGACATCCACAGCATCGCCACAGCACATCTCT